CGGAGGTCTACAGACAATTCCTTGGACTTGGTTTGTGCTCTGACATGCACTGTTAACTGTGGGGCCTTATGTAGACAGGTTTATGCCTTTGCTAATCATATCCAATCAACTGAATTTCCCACAGGCGGACTCAAATCAAGGTTTGGAAACCTCTCAAGGATGATCAGTGGGAACAGGATGCACCAGAGCTCAATTTTGAGTGTTATATGACAAAGGCTGTCACTACTTACGTACATGTGTTTTTTTTTTTCGTTTTTTACTTTTAATAAATTACAAAGATTTAAAAAAAAACTTCTTTCACGTTGTCATTATGGGGTATTGTTTGTAGAATGTTGAGGAAAAATATGAATTTAATCCATTTTGGAATAAGGCTGTAACATAACAAAATGGGCAAAATTTAAGTGCTCTGAATACTTTCTGGATGCACTGTACTTTGTTATTTATTACCACTGCTAATAAATAAAATTTGCAAACATGTTCATTCCTTTTGTCTCCTAACCAGGGTCATAGAAAGTACAATACAATATAATAAAATTACAGTTCTCACCCAAAGAAGATTTCCCCGAAGTGTTTACCCCCTTGCTATATACAGTATGTATGCCAAGTAGACAAGAGGTTCATCTTTCTTGGCACCAGCAGGACTTCCCTTTCTCAATGCATTTTTTGCACCTATAGCTTCTTTGGAAAGAGGAATTTTCTGCAACATCATACTGAAACCAAAGTTAGAGTCCCTGTAGGTTTCTTATGAAGCTTTTACATAATTATTATGTCTGCTGCCCACCCAGATTGTCAATGGACTAGATTGCAAACCGTGCCCCCGACACGGGAGGGAAAGGAAAAAAAGGAAAAAGCTCTCTGGGATAACTTAGTGAGGAAGGCTTTCAGTGTGCATGTGATTTTGTTACCTTATGAACCTTATGATTAAACACAATTATTATCTTTCTCTTAATATTAATGTATATTTGTAAAAAGCCAAATATTACCAAATACTGTATGTCCTATTTTTATCTCTTCTATAAGTCTCTGTTTGACATTCCCAATATTTTTTGTATCTATTAAATGTATGAGGTGGTGTTTTTACCTATTTACCACTTTCAACATGAGTACTTAGTGCCCCAATGTTACTTGGGATCAATGGATATCTAAGATATACTCCTGCTCTGAATAAGGCACTCTGAAAAAATATGTTTTTAATCAATATTAATGGTAATTCCTCATTGATTTGCATATATATATATAAGCCTCTACTGATATTCTAGGAAATATTCTAGAAATTAAGATGGCTACCTACCTCTTTAAACTGCCACACAGGTAGGAGCCCCAGATAATCACTATTCAGATATTAATTAAGTATATTCAGAAGGGAATAATTTGAACCTCTATTCAAAAAATACCAGTTTAAAAAGAAACAACTCTTATTGATATTGGGGTGGAAAACTCTAGCCCTAGATGTCACTGCTACCCCTAAAAGCCGGGAAAACAGCCCATTTGGTAGGGTGGTAAGGGTAGTGCAGGAAGGACTAAACAGTGGTATTAGGGATTCTATAATCAGAAGGACTGATATATTGGCATACCTCGGTTTACAAATTTAATTCGTTCTGCGGGACTTTCTGTATAGCGAAAAGTTCGTAAACAAAAATACTATTTCCCATAGGAATGCATTGAAAACCAATTAATTCATTCCGGAGGTCAGAAAAATGCAAACACTACTAAAATACTGCATGAGTTATTTTATCAAGTCATGCGGTATTTTAGCAGTGACAACCATGTGTTAATGTTTCAGCTGTCAACGGGGTTCCCCACTGACAGCTGAATGTAAAAGAATAAATAATTAAAATAATTTAAATAATGGCGTGGGGTCCCCCCACCCATGCATACCAAGCCCTTCGGGTCTGGTATGAATTTTCAGGGGAACTCCCATGCCAAAATTTAAAAGAAAAAATGGCGTTGGGGCCCCCCAAAATCCATACCAGACCCTTATCCAAACATGCAGCCCAGCAGGTCAGGAAAGAGGGTGCTCGCCCCCCCTCCTGAACCATACCAGGCCACATGCCCTCATATTTTAGAATTGTCAAGCCATCACAGAGGCAGATGGCTGGGAGCCAGCACCGGGAGCTGAGCCTTTTTTTATTAAATCTTTTTTCGGGGGGTGGCGGACATCGTGATTGACGTTGGATCTACTGCAGGGGACATTCTTTTAGTTTTTTATTTTAATAAAGGACTTGTCATAGACCGTGTCCTGTCTTTTTTCACACTACACTTTTTTTTTTTTTGTAAATGAGTATGGGGTACCATGCACCCCATACTCATTCACATGGGGGGGCGGGATCTGGGGGCCCCTTATTAAAGGGGGCTTCCAGATTCCAATAAGCCCCCTGACCACAGGCCCCCACAACCACAGCCCAGGGTTGTGGGGAAGAGGCCCTTGTCCCCATCAACATGGGGACAAGGTGCTTTTGGGGGGAGTGCCCCCTGCCCCAAAGCACCCCCCTATGTTGAGGGCATGTGGCCTGGTATGGTTCAGGAGGGGGGGGGCACTTGCTCGTCCCCCCCTTTTCTGACCTGCCGGGCTGCATGATCGGATAAGGGTCTGGTATGGATCTTTTGGCATGGGGATTCTCCTCAAAACCCATACAAGACCTGTAGGGCTTGGTATGAATGGACCCCATGCTTTTTTTTTTTTACCTGGTGGGCAATACAGACAATTCTTATGACATACGGCTGTCAGCAGGGAACCCCACGGACAGCTGAAACATTAAGGAATATTTCACTACTAAAATACCACATGACTTAAATAAAACTCATGCTGTATTTTAGTAACTGAGTGGTATCTTACCTCATACTTATATGCAGTAAGATACTACTCAGTAAATTGTCCCTGTTTGAAGTTTGCAGTTGAACTTTCGATAGGTTTGAATGTTCAACAGCAAATCAAACAGGGGGGTGTTAAGCCCATCACTAGTGATTAGGTTGGTTAACTGCTACTTCATGCTGCTATATGCAGTATCTTCCATCTTGCTTGAGGTGATTGTAGCCATATTAGTGCACTTGCAACAGAAACAATTGAGTACTGTCTGTGATACTTTTTTTTTGCACTAGCATACAATTTTTCAGGAGTTTTTGGAGTATGCCCCCTTCTTTAAAGTCCAAGCAGTACTGGTACACAAAGTTTTAACACAATGCTAAAGAAGACAATCTCTGAGGTTAAAAAAAAAAGTAAGATCTTGTGATATGAGATTCCATTGTAAATTACAGTACTATTTGTACTACAACAAAACTACACTGTACTAAACCATACTACAAAAAATATGAAAAAAACACAAGTGAAAAATACAAGAATTAATTCATTTGTTCACCAATGCCAGAATTCCGCCAAGCAAAATAGATGAGTTGGAAGCTTTGACTATGATTTAATTGGTTTTGCTGAATCTTGGCTTCATTCTTCATATGACTGGTCTAATAATATTCCTGCCTATGCTCTTAGGGAGACAGGGTATAACGCGAAGATGGTGATGTCTATCTCAATCTGAAAAGTAATCTAAAAGTGAGTGTGAAAGAGGACAATGTGATGGTGCTGAAGGATTATGAGTGGAACTGCATATGGATGTGTGTACCACAAAGTCAAATACTGGAGTTTGTTATATGCCACCCAGTATTAATGTAATGAGGAAGTGGAGGCTGATTCTTGCACAGATAGAAAGGACTGCAAGGGCTGGGGCAGTGGTGATAATGGCTGATGTTAACTACTTGAAACTGGCTATAGTAGTGGCACTTCTGGAGCAGAATTTTCTAAACCTATTACAAGACAATTTTATAGTACAGTTACTAGAAACCCTAACTACAAATATGCTCTGCTGGACCTAGTAATCTCAAACCATGCACAGCTTATTACTAATGTTCATGTACAAGAACATCTGTGTAGCAGTGACCATAATATGATTTCATTTAATGCTAGCTATAAGCAACAAGCACATACTTGAAAGAAAAAAAACATTTTTAAGAGAGTCTATTTTCAAAAGCCTTAGGGCTGCTCTCCAAGACTTAGACTGGGAGGGAATATTCTCATCAAGGAACACAGAACATAGTTGCTAATGCTGCAAATCAACTGTATACAAATACACTGCAATATACACTCCCATGGGTAATAGGTTTAAAAGGCTAAAAAGAAAAACTATGTGACTTATGGTTAAAGTGAAAAAAAGATACAAATAATAAGAAAAAAACATCTAAAAAATATAAAAATGAAGAATGCTATCATCATTTAAAAGTTACCAAAAAACACACTGTATGTGAAAAGGAATTCAAGATTTTAAAATGAAAGACGGGTTGAAAAAGAGGAGTAGCCCCCCCCCCCCAAAATTCTTCAAATATATTAAAAGTGAAAACGTCAGGTCTGAGCACGTAGACCTTTTACAAGATAATTTAAAGTTGGTGACAGGGGAAAAAGAAAAGGGCATTGTATTAAATTCCTTCTTCAACTCTGTGTATGCAAAGGAACATGGGGAGCTCAAGTCCACATAATGGGGATAGTATTGGCATACCCCCAACAAACTATTATGGCTCAAAATGTATATAATCCAGAAAAAATTAGACAGAATAAAGGTCAATAAAGTACTTGGACCAGATGGCATAAACCCACATGTCCTAAAAGAGTTGATCTGTGTTATTTTAAAACTATAATTTCTAATTTTTAAGGACTCATTAATGACTAGCATAGTACCATTTGGGTTGGCATAAGGCCAATATGATGCCTATATTTAAAAGGGGATTAAAGACTTTACCAAGTAACTACAGATCAGTTAGTGTAATCTCTATAGTTGGGAAAAAAACGTTGTTTAATAAAAGAACACATAGAATATTTATTGCTAGAAAATAATATTTAAAGCAGTAGACAGCATGGATTCACAAAAGACAGAAGTTGTAAAACTTATCTGATTTCTTTTTATGAGGAAGTAAGCAAAAACATAGACAAAGACGTTGCTGTGGATATACTTGGATTTATCAAAAACATTTGACACAGTTCCCCCAACACACACACAGGTCATATGTAAGTTATGTGTACAGGCGGCTTAGAAAATTCAGTTTGTTAATGGACAAAAAACTGGCTAAAAGACAGTATTCAGAGCAGGGGCGGACTGACCATTTGGAAACTCGGGCACTGCCCGAGGGCCCGGGGTCAGTAGGGGGCCCCATGAGATGCCCCTGGTACCTTTCTCATAGGCTTTTTTGAGTTTGGTAAGGACAAAGGGGCCTCATGATCCCCTATTGCCCGGGGGCCCCATGAGTTGTCAGTCAGCCCTGATTCAGAGTAGTGATTAACGATTACGGTTATAAGTAGTGTACCTCAAGGTTCAGCGTTTGGACCCTTACTTCTTAATACACTTTTAAATCATGTAGCGTTTGATGTTAAAAGTGTCATTTCTGTATTTTCAGAAGGCACCAAGTTACGTAGTGAAATATAGTCTGTGGAGTCTTCAACACAGACCTCAATGCACTGTCTGGGCAATTATGCGGCAAACAAGGTTTAATGTTGATAAATGTAAAATTTTGCATGCGCTTGAGAGCTAAAAAACATGCATACATTCATACATGAGGAGAACTAGGGGAATCAATGGTGGAAAAGGATCTAGGTGTTCTGGTGAGTAGAAGACTCAATAATAGCATGAAATGTCAAGCTGCAGTTTCTAAAGCTAGCAAAATATGTACAGTGGGGATCGAAAGTTTGGGCACCCCAGCTAAAAATTTGTATTAATGTGCATAAAGAAGCCAAGAAAAGATGGAAAAATCTCCAAAAGGCATCAAATTACAGATTAGACATTCTTATAATATGTCAACAAAAGTTAGATTTTATTTCTATCATTTACACTTTCAAAATAAAAGAAAACAAAAAAATGGCGTCTGCAAAAGTTTGGGCACCCTGCAGAATTTATAGCATGCACTGCCCCCTTTGCAAAGCTGAGACCCTGCCAGTGTCATGGATTGTTCTCAATCATCATCTGGGAAGACCAGGTGATGTCAATCTCAAAGGTTTTAAATGCCCAGACTCATCTGACCTTGCCCCACAAATCAGCACCATGGGTTCTTCTAAGCAGTTGTCTAGAAAACTGAAACTGAAAATAGTTTACGCTCACAAAGCTGGAGAAGGCTATAAGAAGATAGCAAAGCGTTTTCAGATGTCAATATCCTCTGTTTGGAATGTAATTAGGAAATGGCAGTCATCAGGAACAGTGGAAGTTAAAGCAAAATCTGGAAGACCAAGAAAAATATCAGACAGAACAGCTCGCAGGATTGTGAGAAAAACAATTCAAAACCCACGTTTGACTGCACGATCCCTCCAGAAAGATCTGGCAGACACTGGAGTTGTGGTACACTATTCCACTATAAACAGATACTTGTACAAATATGGTCTTCATGGAAGAGTCATCAGAAGAAAACCTCTTCTACGTCCTCACCACAAAAAATCATCATTTGAACTTTGCAAATGAACATATAGACAAGCCTGATGCATTTTGGAAACAAGTTCTGTGGACCGATGAGGTTAAAATTGAACTTTTTGGCCGGAATGAGCAAAGGTACGCTTGGAGAAGAAGGGGCACAGAATTTAATGAAAAGAACCTCTGTCCAACTGTTAAGCATGGGGTTGGATCAATCATGCTTTGGGGTTGTGTTGCAGCCAGTGGCACAGGGAACATCTCACGAGTAGAAGGAAAAATGGATTCAATAAAATTTCAGCAAATTTTGGATGATAGCTTGATGCCATCTGTGCCTTCACAATCTCCTGACCTCAACATAATTGAAAATCTATGGATAGACCTTAAAAGAGCAGTGCGTGACAGACAGCCCAGAAATCTCAAAGAACTGGAAGACTTTTGTAAGGAAGAATGGGCAAAGATACCTCAAACAAGAATTGAAAGACTCTTGGCTGGCTACAAAAAGCGTTTACAAGCTGTGATACTTGCCAAAGGGGGCAGTACAAGATATTAACTCTGCAGGGTGCCCAAACGTTTGCAGACGCCATTTTTTTTTTTTTCTGTTATTTTGAAAGTGTAAATGATGAAAATAAAATCTAACTTTTGTTGACATAAGAATGTCTAATCTGTAATTTGATGCTTTTTGGAGATTTTTTCCATCTTTCCTTGGCTTCTTTATGCACATTAATACAACTTTTTAGCTGGGGTGCCCAAACTTTTGATCCCCACTGTACTTGTATTAAAAGAGGCATAAAACCTCATCTAAAATAAGCAGTTCTGTTTTGGACACCAGCTTCCCTAAAAGGATATTGGTTAACTGGGAAAGTGAAGAGAAGGACAAAAAAATTGATAAGAGGCATAAAGGAGCTCAGCTAATGGAAAATATTATGTATGAATCAGTGCTGTGTTCAAATAAAAACACCAGAAAATTAAATAAAAGTGTAAGTATTGCAATCACAATACACAAATGTGTCAGTACTAAAACAAGTGCAGAAATATGTTTATAAACACCAAGAATCAAAAGGTGAAATAAACAGTGCACTATAATATCTAAATGGTGCAAAATCAAAAGTCTATGCAACATGTACCTTCATAGTTGACCCTCATTGCAAAAGTCAAAATGCACATCTTTATTGTACCAGGATCCAGCAAGGTGCTTAGTAATGGATGCAGAAATGATAACCTCCAGTCTGCTCCAGCCAACATGTATTACCAGCATGACTCCAATAGACTCAAAAGGAACAGATTCAATAATTATCCAGTAGGTTAAACCATCCAGTGTGAGATTCTTAAAGATAAGGCTCAAAGAAACAGAAAAAGGACCATAGTGTTCACTGCTTATGAACTATTTTATTAAAAATTAATAAAAGTGCACTCGCATTGGAAACAAGGAGAACCAGTTTTCATGAATTACTGACATAAGACAGAGGAAGAGGAACAGTGCTGTCCAGCAGAATTACAGAGCCAAACCACCATGTACTGCTACAATCCTTCCCACTTGTATCCAGCCAATTCACTTCAGGATCACTAAGTTCCTCCCAACATGTTAATGGTAGTGTGACTGGGCATATAACAAGCTATACAAATAGTATGCATATACAATATTTCATTCAAAGCTATGGCAGTTAATAAAGAAACCTCACCCATTTGACATATAAAGTGATACAGCATATCACAATATATTGCATTGACAGTTCCTCTCAGCTGCCATCCATTTTTTGAGAGCACCTTTTCAGAGTAGGAGTATACAGTTGTGTCCAAAATTATTCAACCCCCAATGCTGTAAAGGGGTTTAGGGACTATAGTGTACATTTGGAATTGTATTCAGAATCAAATCCTACAAGGACGTTGTAACTACCCAAATGCAACTAAAATGACATCAATTGTTTATGTAATACAGTAGTAAATGGTTCTTATGTGGTTTCTTCATTGCCACAATTATTCAACCCCTTAAAGACTACCACTCTGAAGAACAGAGGTTCATACAGGTGCTTTCCATCAGGTATTGAAAACACCTGTGGATGTCACCGAGCAGCAATCAAGCATAATAAGCACCAATTAGGCAGCTTTAAAATGACTGTGATACTCAGCTCCTTCTAGACATTTACTGGTGTGGTTACAAACATGGTGAAGGCAAGAGAATGGTCCAGGAAGACAAGAGAAGAGGTGATTTCTCTTCACAGGAAGGGCAATGGCTATAAGAAGATTGCAAAGATGTTAAACATACCAAGAGACACCTTAGGAAGCATCATTCGCAAATTCAAGGCAAAGGGCACTGTTGAAACGCTACCTGGTCGTGGCAGAAAGAAGATGCTGACTTCGACTGCTGTGCGCTACCTGAAGCGTAGAGTGGAGAGAAGTCCCCGTGTGACTGCTGAGGAACTGAGAAAAGATTTGTCAGATGTGGGTACAGAAGTTTCAGCCCAGACAATAAGACGCACACTGCGTAATGAAGGCCTCCGTGCCAGAACTCCCAGGCGTACCCCCTTGCTGTCTCCAAAGAATAAGAAGAGTCGACTGCAGTATGCCAAAAGCCATGTGGACAAACCACAAAAGTTGTGGGATAGTGTTCTGTGGACTGATGAAACAAAATTAGAACTGTTTGGGCCCATGGATCAACGCTATGTTTGGAGGAGGAAGAACAAGGCCTATGATGAAAAGAACACCTTGCCTACTGTGAAGCATGGTGGAGGGTCAATCATGCTTTGGGGCTGTTTTGCTTCTGCAGGTACAGGGAAGCTTCAGCGTGTGCAAGGTACCATGAATTCTCTTCAGTACCAGGAGATATTGGATGGAAACGTGATGCAGTCCGTCACACACCTGAGGCTTGGGAGACGTTGGACCTTTCAACAGGACAATGATCCCAAGCATACCTCCAAGTCCACTAGAGCATGGTTGCAGAGGAAAGGCTGGAACATTTTGGAGTGGCCATCGCAGTCACCAGACTTAAATCCGATTGAGAACCTCTGGTGGGACTTAAAGAAAGCAGTTGCAGTGCGCAAGCCTAAGAATGTGACTGAACTGGAGGCCTTTGCCCATGAAGAATGGGCGAAGATACCCGTAGATCGCTGCAAGACACTTGTGTCAAGCTATGCTTCACGTTTAAAAGCTGTTATAACTGTAAAAGGATGCTGTACTAAGTACTAAGATTGAATGTCACTTGGGGGTTGAATAAAACTGATAATGCTGTGAGCACAGAAAAGACATTTGTGGTTATTTCATTATAACTGTTATGTTATATTTGTCTGACCTACAAGTGCCTCTTTAATGTAAATGTAAGCAAGATGACTGAATGATCAAAAGCAATGTCAAACTGGCCAAAACACTCAATTTCAGTGGGGGTTGAATAATTTTGGACACAACTGTATCTTGGATATCCATCGATCCCCAGTAACATCAGGTTGCTACGCACTCATAGGGAAAGTGTGGGAAAGAGTTAACAGTACTGCTATACAAGGGTAATGGATATTTAAATGAATAGGAATGTCAAAGAGAGACTTACAGAAGAGGTAACAATAGGACATAATGGGTAATATTTGGTTTAACTAGAAAAAAAATATGTACTGTTATTGGATAATGAATAGATAATGAATATGTTTAATTTTACAGAAGGATCCTAATATTAATGTTTGAGAATCACTTCTGATTACACTGCTAGCAGTTCCTACTAAGTTCTACTAGTGTGTGAGGGCATATGGCACACCCTGACCCATCTAAATGGTTTAAGAAAAAAAACTTCATATGATTACTTTGTGTAAATGTGTG